GGGAATGGGGACCTCTGCAGTAGTGTCAACAATGAAAATAAAGAAGAAAAAGAAAGACACTAGATTAACCATACTGATAAAGGCATATAACCTTTTTTGAAGAATAACTATGGAGTATGCATCAAAAGCATTAAAATCATGCATATTCTGAGTCTTTAGCCAGCAGTCAGGACATTGGCTGTGCCACAGGCCTCAGGTCTCCTCTCCCTTCCCACTAAGGATAACCCAGAAGAAGACTGCCTACACTTCACCCTACCACCGGCAGCCAGCTTAATCTGGTCTGAACATCCTTCCCTAGAGTCCTCCAAGAGAAGCCTACCACCCCATCTTCTCTTGTCCTCAAGAGCCACTCCAATGCCCAGCCCACTGCTGCCTGAGCCAGAGAAGCAATGGGACATCCAACTTAATGCAGTCCTTCACAATTGATGACTTTGAGATTGGGCATCCTCTGGGCAAAGGCATGTTTGTAAACATGTACTTGGCTTATTTCATCATAGCACTCAAGGTCCTCTGAAAGTCTCAGAGAGAAAAGGAAGCTGTGGAGCACCAGTTTTGCAGGAAAGTCAAAATCCAGCTTTGCTTCATCTTCAGCATCCCCACATCCTGTGTCTCTGTATTTCAATGACCGCCAAAGGATCTACTTGATTCGGGAGTATGCCCTCCACAGGATGCTCTGCAAGGAGCTGCAGAAGAGCAGCACTTCTAATGAGTAAGTGAACAGCCACAGTTCATGGAGGGACGAGAAATGCTCTGATGTACTGCTACAGGAGGGTGATTCAGAGACATAAAAGCCAGAGAATCTGCTCTCGGGCTTCAGGAAAAGCTCAGGACTGCTCACTGTGACTGGTTTGTACACGTACCTTTGCTGAGGAGGAAGACAATGCATGGCATCTTGGACTACCTTCCCCAGGGATGACTGAGGGGAGCATGCACAATGAGAAGGTGGACCTGTGGTACACCAGAGCACTCTGCTATGAGCTGCCAAGAAATCCCCCCTCCAAGAGTGCTTCGGACAATGAAATTTATTGGTGCATCAACAAGGTAGACCTGATTTTCCCCACTTCTGTGTTAACAGGAGCCCAGTACCTCACCCCCAAGTTCCTCAAACATAACCCCTCAGGATGTCTGTCCCTGGTCCAGGTACCAGCCCACCCTTGGATCCAGGTCCATTCTTGGAGGGTGCTGCCTCTGTCCCCTGAATTGTCCCTGTCATTTACTTAGTTGTGCCTGTATTTTATGTCTGTATATGTATAGTTGGAAAAAGGAGTCTCTGTCCTGTTCCCTGATCTGTCTTCTACTTCCTTTTTATTTAATAAAGGCTGAAGCTTTAAAAAAAATCATGCATATTCTCTGACCAAGAAATTCCACTTGGGTCACAAAGACCCTGAACAATCGGACTGGGTCTTACAAACACAGAAATCTTTTAAGAACATTCCCCACCTAATTACACAGGGTACAGAAAAGCTCATCCAGAACCGGGTACATCACACTGCTTGACACATGAGATGCTGGAATAAATGTTTATTAAAAGAAAATGCCTAAATGACAGTCATCAACTTTGACTTATAGCTATTCTATTACTATGCCAAAAAAATGTTCCTGAAATAATAATAGTTTTCATTTCACCAGCAACTCTGTTCTACTCACTCTTCAATGTTCTGGATCTGTCTGCCAGGGGTTTGGAAGGAGACTCTATTACAATACATGAGGGAGTATGTCTAGGTAAGTGATCAGACTGACCACACTAAATTATAAAAAAGGCATACATATACTACAAAGAGAATGGAAAAGAGGGATAAAGATATGAAAAGAACCAACATCTCAGAAAATGAAATGTGGAGCCAAAAAGAGGGGTTAACTCAGTTTATCCGTAGAACAGTCTACTCCTCCAGCCCCTGGTGCCACCCTCCGCTCGTCCTCCCCTGGTCAAAGGAAGAAAAGTATGTAGAAAAAATGAGGTTTCCCTTCCTGAAAAAATGAGCAGCTATGGAGAAAAGATTTCTACTAGTCAGCATTAGGAATTCCCACAGCACAACAGCCAACTCCCAAGCCTCGTGTCAACAATTCCAATCCAATCAATGACCCGAGTCCACCACTGGTTTTCACCATCTTGCTCTTTAAAATGAACAACCAGTAACCATCACCCATTTGAAGGAAGCCAGCACAAGAGAGAAAAGCAAACAAAAAATTACATGTAGTAAACAAAGTAATTGAAGGCCAAAGGTGGCTTTTTTTGTTGGGAGAGGAGTTTGACATTTTTTATCCTCATGCAAGAAGACAGCATATCCCCTTGGCTGGGTAGCTCAGTTGGTTACAGCATCCTCCTCACATACCAAGGTTATGGGTTCAATCTCTGGTCAGGGCACATACATGAAGCAACCAAATGAATACATAAATAAGTAGAACAACAAACTGATGTCTGTCTGTCTGTCTCTCTCTCTTCCTCTCTAAAAACCAAAAAATAAAATAAAAATTTTAAAGAGATAGCATATCCATAAACTTAAAAAATATATATTAAAAAAACCCTCAGGAATCAAAAAGAATTTCTGGAAATTAAAAAATGATGGCAGAAACAAAAATTCAATACCAAGGATATTTCCAATAAAATGAGTCAAAGTGGGATTCATTTATTGGATATTTCCAATAAATCAAAGTGGGATTATTTATTGGATGTTTCCAGGAAAATGATACCCAATATCTGACGAATGAGTTCCCAAAAGAGAAAACACAGAAAACAAAAGGCAAGAAACTGATGAAGAGAAACATAAAAGCTGGTCTACAGATTTAAAGGTCCACCTAGTATTTGGCACAGAGAATGATAAAAGGCCCAAATTGACATCTGATGTGAACTTTCAGAACTCTAAAAATAGAGAAGAGAATCCTAAAGCTTCCAAAGAAAAAAATAAAAGGTCATCCAAAAACACAGAAAATAGTATCAGGTTTCTCAAAAGCAGCACAAAATGCTAAAAGAATAATGCCTTCAACAGTCTTAGAGAAAAATGTTTTCAACCTAGAATTATACATTTACCCAAACTATCAATCAAATATGACAGCAGATATACATATTCAGAATTTAAGGATTCAGAACAATCACTCAAACGTACCCTTTGTTAGACAGTTTTTGTGGACTTACAGAACGAGAGAAAAAGCAATGAAAGAGGAGGCCGCTGGGTCCGGAAACAGTGGTGCAGCCAAGGATAGTCGTGCAAGCAGCCAGGTTGCAATAGCAAGACAGAAGCTTTGGAGAGGGAAGGCATACAGAAAACGGAGGACTCGAATGTTAAGCAACCTGATTTTTAAAAAATACGTATTAAGAAAAGAAAATTAAAAAAGCAGCAGCAGCATATGATAGTGAAATATAATGCAAGAAAAAAATAAAATCCAATGAGAAGGAAGATGGGACATCTGGTAAACTGAATAATGACCCCCCAAAGATGTCCACATTCTAATCCCTGGAATCCGTTTATGTGTGATTAAGTTAAGGATCTTCAGATGAAAAGATTATCCTGGATTCCCGGATTTTCTGGGTGGGCCAAAGTAATCACAAAGATCCTTATAAGAGAAACAGGCCCTGGCCCGGTTTGATCCTCAGTCGGAATGTATTCAACAGTTAACCAATTGATGTTTCTCTCTCACATCAATTCTCCCTCCCTCTCTCTTTCTCCCTCCCTCCTTTCTCCTCTCTGTAAAATCAGTAAGCATGTCCCTGAGTGAGGATAAAAAAAAAAAAGGAGAGAGAGAGACAGAGAGACAGAGAGAGAGAGAGAAAGTAGGAGTGTCCGACACAGAAGCAGGAGAAGTGACAATGAAAGCAGAGAGAGAGAAAGGTCAGAAGATCCTACACTACTGGTTTTGAAGATGGAGGATGAGGTCAAGAGCCAAGGTACACAGGTGTCACCTGGAAGGTAGGAAACAGCAAGGAAACAGATTCTTCTCTGACGTGTCTGGAAGGAACGTAACCTTGCCAATATCTTCATTTTAGGGTATCTGATCTCCAGAAGTATAAATGAATAAATGTATATTATAAAAGCCACTAAGTTAGTGGTAATTTGCTTCTGAAGCCATAGGAAACCAATACAAAATACCACATGAAGAGACCACACCAGAGCCAAGAAGACAACCAAAGCACCCCAGCAGACAGCAGAATCCACACATGTGAGACAAGCAGCTCGGATGTTCCAGCCTAGCTCAGGCATCAGCTGAATGAAGCTGCATAAATGACCCCAGCTGATACAACATGGGGCAGAAGAACAGCCCAGTTAATACAAAGAATATATACCAGAGAGTAAGATCCACCAGTTTTATCCTGCCACCTGGAAATTTAAAACAAGACAACCCATGTAAACCAGTGATTTTTCAAACACTGGACATCACAGAGCACAGGACAGTGCTCCTTGAAACAGGGGAATCAAATGATTTCCTACAGCTGTCCCAGCTTACTGTCTGGAGAGTTTCCAGACTACATTGCAAGGTAGGACAAGGAGTCGCAGACAAAGCCTGGGTACAGGTTAAAGGCATAAAATGGAAGTGACAGGAGCTAGCTCTCTAGAAAGCTACCTGAAGAGATTCTATTTGCAGATGCTCCCACCCTCCAACACCCTCTTCAACTGGACCACACTCCACAGCCTTAAGCCACTTTTAAGACTTGTTCACGTTATCAGTACTACCTGTATCTATTCCTATATCCTGCCTTCTTGACCAGTTGCTCGCTATATTTATCTGTCTCATATGTATCCTTCTTTCATGCAATCCTTGCATAAATCACAGTAGCTATGAGTTTAAAATAAATGTGAATTATTTGGGTAGAAATTGAGATATCTGCATACAACACAGGGATTTACACAGGGCCAGGATCATTACATAAGACCAGTAGTTGGCCTGGGCATGTGCTTCAGATAGAGCGATCAAGTGCAAATGTGGCACAGTTACATAACAGACAAGAGCCTGAAGCGCTGTCCCAGAGTACCACCTACAGGACAAACACGGGAAAACAGCCTTGCCTTTGCTCTATCGGACCACCCAAAAGACTGCACTGTCACGTCCAATCGTTTCATCAACATCCTCCGGCGGCACTCGTATTCACAGGAAAGGGCATCATTGATTCTTTCCAGTTGTTCCTGAAGAATTTGGAAATAAATATCATAAACTTTAGACTCTTTTACTATGCACAGAAAAGAAATTTGAAAACAGTGGTCAATATTCCCTGATTGAAAAGATATTTCTTTTATTATGCACAGAAAAATTTGAAAATGGTGGTAAATATTCCCTGATTGAAAAGATATTATACTTGATGACCATTTTCCAATCCCATGAGACTTTACAGTAAATTATTTAATAGAGAATTTGATACAACATTTATGATATTCAGAAGATATTAAACAAATAAACTCTACAACTGGTAAATTTACTTCATCTTCAACCAAATGTGTTAATTTCAGTAAAACATTTACATGCTAAGTAGTAGGGTCCAATAAGGAAAAAAAGTACCGATAACATCCCACTTTGCTGGCTTTGAGCTACTATCCTTTTTAAATCACAACTATGCTAATACATTGGGCACTATAAAAACTCTTAGCCAGAAATTTCTTAAATTAATAATCTGATTGAAGAAATATGTTTGGACCTATCACTCTAGAATATCAATTCACTTTAATTCTCCAAAATAATAAATGCATGCTACATACTGTAAAATCTAGACAATTTATAAAATGAAGTCATATTCATTAACTGAATTACATAAAATTAATAAAATGCAATGAGGGGGTAGGTGGTGGACACTTACCACCTGTTCTGGAGTTAAATCAATCTTCAGCAGTGGTTTTCCCACATGATTTTTCTGGACTTTTGAGAGAATAGCTTTCACCTAAAAGTAAACATAAAAGAGTGTGAAAATGTAAGTCCCTAATTTAAAACAATCTTATTCTCATTTAAAACGGTATTTTAAATGCTAGAAAATAAATAAAATGTTAAAGTGAAATAACTAAAATATACCTTTATATACTGGGAAAGATTATCAGTACAAGGCAGAATATCTTTTTTCAAAGAGCATTAATTATATTAATTCAAGCTACAGCACATCTTTTCCAGAATAAGAAATAATGTACATAGACAACTAAAGTAGCTACTAAAAGGTTTTGCTATGAAGATTGTATGTTTTTGTAAAATAATTTTGGAATTTCTTCTTAAGATGGCACTCTCTTACATCCTGGTAAGTTCTCAAAAAGCATACTAACACCTCTGATGAGCATATTGATTCTTCTCAGTTAAGTACTATATACACATCCCAGTTGTAAGGATTCTGGCTTCACTGTTCAGCACGACAACACAGGAGGGCAAGCCCTCTCAGTTATAGTCACCACACACACATTTCACATTTCATTATTTTTTGCAAAGCCACCAATTTAAATTACTTAAAACATTTTTATTTCCATGAATACGATATTATGCATTCACTTTTGCTTTAGTGTTATCAGGGGTCATTCCAGTAACAGTCATTTATCCTGAAGAAAATGATGGAGAAATGATGACTTAAGTTGGACTTACCCTCCCAACTGGAGAATCCTTTATTATCTAAAGAAAATATTTCAAAACAAAATGAAATATTTACAGTTTCTTAGTTATAGGTAAGTAGGTAAGCCAATCAGGAGCAGTTCACAGGTTAGGGGTATGAAGCTTATTTAATGTTGGGAGGCACTCTTTAAGAAAAAGAATTCAAAATTATGAACATAAAGTTAGCTTGGAGACTGGTGGTGGTGAAGGGGAGTCTCTATAAATGGGCACACAGTTTCTTTTGAGGGTAACAGAAATATTCTAAAATTAGATTTTGATGATGGTCATATTATAAAACTACACTAAAATTCACTGAATTGTACACTTTAAATGGGTTAATTTTTAAAAAGATTTTATTTATTTATTTTCAGAGAGAGGGGAAGAGAGGGTGAGAAACACTGATGTATGACGGAAACATTAATCAATTGTGTCTTACAAGTGCCCCAGCTGGAGACCTGGCCCAGAACCCAGGCATGTGCCCTGACCAGGAATCGAACCAGTGACCTTTCGCTTTGCAGCATGATACCCAAACCACTGAGCTATGCAGGTCAGGGCAAAATGGGTGAATTTTATGGCACATAGATTGTATCTTGAGAGGCTGTTTTTTAAAAATTAGCTTCAAAAGAAGTGTAAATGAGGGGTCCCAAGGCTTAAAAGCTTTATTAGCTTCACAGCAAATCTACCTTTATAAGAATTCAATTACTGATACAATTATTGCATACTGTAAAGAATTAACTTATTTTCTTAAAATATACCATTTTTGTAGATTCTACAACTATTGTAAATACCTCCAATTTGATTATTAGATATATTTCTAAAAGTTTTACTTGTAACTCCTCACTGAACAGGGATTCTAAATGCATATTTGTAATTTCTTACATGTAATCAAACTCCCAGGATTTCAACATTAGATAACAGTTTCAAAAAGTCTGAGAATCACTTGTGATGGAGCCAGGGAGTGAGGAGCAGAGGATGACTGCTTGGGTTCCAACCTCAGGTCTACCCTTACTGGTTAGACACTTGCTTGTTCAATTTATAAAATCTTTTAGTACCTCAGCTGCCTCATGTAGTTGTTGCAGATAGTAACAATACCTACCTCATTATTAGTGACCTAAGAATTCAATGAACTGTTGCATATAAACATTTAGATGCTATATATTTGCTATTAATATTACTATCATTACTTTAGAGTCACATTTAAACAGCTTTAAATTAGAAATTAATAATTTTCCCCCCAACAGTGGCAAAGTCTCTTCTGCATACATCACACATAAAAGAAAAAATATATGGAAGTATTTGCTTTGATGGAAACTGAATGCAGAAGGAAGTCGTTTCAGGGACACACTCAGCCACAGTGACCACAGTAACAACTCCCTTGTAATCAGGCCACCAGCATCTGAACACGGCCATTCTAGCTGCTTTAAGTCAAGAGAAGAGAGATTTGGGGATATTATTAATACTAACTGAAACCCATAAAAGGAAGAAGTGTTTTTGGAATAAATACGTAAACGCACTATTAGAAAGAGCCCAGAAATCTGTCTCATTTTGAAACAGTCCCAGACATTTTAGCCAACCCCAGATCATTCTTAATCCAGAGTAAAAGAGAAGAAAAGTCTGAAGAGTACCTTAACTCCAGAGTAATGTTTTTGAGCTCGGATTTAACAACTTATTCTTTGGTTTGCAAGTTCTATTCCCCCTGCCCCACAAAAAAAAGTTTTTAATATTGTGTTTTCATCTTAATGATACTAAAATTCTCACATTAACAGACCTTTCTTATTTTTCAGTTCATAAATTATCAATGCAAAAAAAGTATTTTATTTAAGAATTTACTTTAAAGTAATGTGCCTAAAAATGGAGTTTAAGTACCTATTCTTGAGGGCGAGAATTTTCTTCTCCTTTAAAATGAACCCTGTACTGTATCATCTCCTTACAGGGCTCCTACGAAACCTAGGAATTAGGCCAGAATTTGGTCTGTGAGAGTGGCAGTCTCTCTAACATATGGCCCGACTAGGATAAAGGGTAGTTTTAGAGTTGAAAAAATTCAAAAGCTTGAGGCACAAAATTTGTAGTTGTTTTTACTCCATCAGGATACTCATTCATTAGCTCTACAACAAACACTTGCTAAACACTTATCCACCAGAAACTGCTTGCTCACTATCAAAGACAACCACGTTGCAATTCTATCAACAATATCCATACAAAAATTTAGTTGCCTTTGACTTTATAGGTTAACTCTACTTGTTTCATTCAACTGTATTTCAACCTTGTTTAGGAAAATGATCCTTACGTTTGCAAATTGATTTCTATCATGTAACTCTCACAAAGCCTGAGTATTATCTACAGGTAGATTAGGTCACATGCATATTAACTCCAAATCCAAAGTTTAGTTCTCATGAAGGTAAACTTCTCTTGAAATGAAATGTCTATCTTATATATTTAAAGGAAATATTTTTAATATAACATTTGCATTAACATGTAAGCACTTAGTTGAATTTTGGAGAAAGAAAATACAACAAACACATTACCTTTGACTCCACTTGGTTTAACGTAAGTGGAATGTCAGAAGTTGTTGACTTGGGAACACCAAGGGTATCACAGATAGCTTGAACTTCCTGATAAATTTCACTATTTTTATCTACTTGAGAATTTTTACACTTCTTGTTCTGTAATATCTGTAAAGCTTGAAGCTCTGTACTTAAAAATACTATAAGAAAAGGGAAAAACAAATAATGTTAAAATGTACACAAACTCCTTAAAATTCCCACTTCTGGGGGACATATCCAAAGAAATTGAAATCAGGATCTCAAAGCGATCTGTACTGCCATGTTCATTGCCATATTGTTCACAATAACCAACATATAGATAGGTTTTCTTTGACAGATAAATGGATACAGAAAATGTAGAATGCACATTCAATGAAATACCATTCAGCCTTTGAAAAGAAGGAAATCCAGCCATTTGCTACACCGTGCATGAACCTGAAGGACATCGTACAAAGTGAAATAAGCCAGACACGGAGCACAATACTACATACCACTTTGATGAGAAATCTGAAACAGTCAAACTTGTAATGCAGAAAGTAGAATGGTGGTTGCCAAAGGGGGACGGAGAAACAGAGTTATTAGTCAAATATACATTTTTTTAAGAACTGGTGATCTGTTTCAATGAACTTTTGAAATTAGAGGGACCTTGGTATAGTCCCCATAAGCCAAGCTGGATACGTACTGATCGGCTATTCAAAAGAAGTCCTAGAGGTCTACGACTTCACAGTGCAGCGCCTATAGTTGACAATATTGTACTGGAGTGTTTAAATACTTAAAAATTTGCTAAAAGGATAGATCTCATGCTGTGTTATCATAAAATACTACTAATAATAATAAAGAGGGCAGGAAGAAAACTTAAAAAAAAAGAAAAGACAGTGCCTACCACAGAATTTAAAGTCTAGCAGGAGACACACACCAGTAAATCAATAATTTAAGTATTAAAATGTTTAAGACACTGATAAAATATTCTCTCTCACACATGCACCAAGTGCTCAGGCCAGGGGAAAACACACAGCTCTAATTTCTAAGGCAGAGAGAGTAATCTGAGTGATCATTTGCCTTCAAGACAGACCACCTCTTTACTGTCAACCATTTCATTTAATCATTTCAACAGCCACATTAAAGAAAAATACTGAAAATCTTAAATGGTTATAATCTTATTTTTAATTAACTTTCGCTCCAGTAGTTTTTGTTTAAAGTTACATACACACACACACACAATTTAATACAGTAATTTCAACTTCAGCTGAGCAGAAGAAATACCTGAGAAACTTTGAAAGTACAGGTGCCAAGGTCCCTCCCTCAGAAATTCTGAACCAGCTCTGAAGTAGGAGTAGGGCATCTGAGTGGTTTGTTTTACACCCAAGGTGATTTTCATGAGCAGGCAGGATTGACGGCCACTGAATTAAAGACTTTTCCATGCATTCTATACATGTTAGACAGTCTAAAAAGCCCACAAAAAGTTGAGACCGGTAAGTATTAAAGTTTGCTTATGAGGACTATGCCAAGGTCCCTCTGATTTCAAAACTTCATTAAAACAGGTCACCAGTTCTTCAACATTGTATTTTGAAAAGAAACTTGGCAGAAGTCCACCTCTGTTCTATGGAAATGTGCTCCATGTAACAGTACAAACAAGAGTTCCATCTAGTATTTAAAATGCGAATCATGCAAATGGTAAACAACACAGTGAAAACTGTTCTTCCCACCACAGACCCTCAGATTCCCCTTCCCCAGAGGCAATCACCATTATTAGTTTCTTGGCCATCTTTTTAGGGATATATTTGTATATATATTTAGTATACATATCTACCATCTATGCACTTCAAAAAAAATACTTTATTTTTAGAGAGAGGGGAAGGGAGGAAGAAAGGAAGAGAAACATCAGTGTGCGGTTGCCTCTCACACTCCCCCTACTGGGCCCCCCCCTCCACTTGACTCACAACTCAGGCACATGCCCTGACTAGGAATGGAACTGGCAACCCTTTGGTTCACAGGCCTGTGCTCAATCTATTGAGGCACACAAGCCAGGGCTATGCACTTTTATTTCTTTTCTACAAGGCATACTACATGTGTTCTGTATATTCACTTTCTATTTACTAATATATCAGAGATCACTCCACATCAACACATTTGATCAGTTTTCATTCTAACGGCTCTCACTGCAAAGATATATCATTCCTACTTTTCCACAAACAGTGCCATAGTGAACATCTTTTTCATATATCTTTGTACACTTGGGGAAATAAATGCTTTCCTAGTCATGATATTGTCAAGCCAAAAAACAGGCAAATTTCAACTGTGATATTAATTCTGCCCTTCCAAAGGCTGTACCTGTTATTCTCCCACCCCACTCTAAAGTCCACAGTGTATGAGAATGCTTACTCCACAAAACTTTATTATGACTTAAATTTTTGTGTATTTTCTACCCTGCTAAATGAAAAACATAATAGTATCCTATCATTTTATTTTTTTATAATTCTTTAACTTTGAAGGATACTGTGCATCTTTTCACATTCAAAAGCAATTAAAAAACTTTTTTTCCTGTAGAATGCCGTTTTCTTGTCTTACGTGCTTTACATATTTTTCCAGTGAGTTTTTCTCTTTTTCTTATTTAGAAAGGCTCTCCACGTAGAAGGGAATCAGGCCCTTTTAATGTTATGCATGTTGCAAACATTTCCAAGAAGAAGATGAAGGAGCTTCTTACATATGTTTTCAAGACAGTCAAACTAAAGATGAAGATGGAATAGATGCTGGTAAAATTGAGAAGTGGTATAACCTCTCTGGAGCAAAATAAGGCAATATATACCTAGACCAGAGATTTTTTTTTAATGTTCATAATCTTTGTCTAAGTAAAAGTAATCCAAAATTATAAACAAAGAAATTAATATAAGATAGAAAAAAAATCAAATACCCCCAAATTTGAAATTTATTAAGTAACAATGTTATGTCCATAACACAGAATGCTATTAGCCAATTTAACTTTTTTTAAATATTAAGTGATGGAGAAATGCTCATAATATATTAAATGAAGAAGAGAAGGAACTGCATCTGTAACGAGATCTCAGTCATACTTAAATGTGTGTGTATAAAGGTAAAAGAGAAGGAACAGAAAATACACCAAAAAGTTATTCATGATTCTCTCTGAGGAGTGAAATTATAAATGATTTTGTGCTTTATAATTTTATCTACTTTGTAAGATTTCTATGATAAGCATGAAATTTCTTAACATATAAGATAATATAAAATTTACTATTCTTTTTTTTTAAAGATTTGATTTATGTATATTTAGAGAGACAGGGGAAGGGAGGGAGAAGATGAGGGAGAGAAACGCCGACCTGCTGCCTCTCACACTCCCCTAACCAGGCACATGCCCTGACCAGGAACCGACTAGTAACTTTTCAGTTTGCAAGATGATGCCTATTCAGGGACAACTATAAAGGACACATGGACAGCATCAGGAGCGGGAGGTGGGGATGGTTGGAGTGGGGGTGAGAAGGAAGGGTAAAGGCAGAAAAATGTACTTGAACAACAATAAAATTTTTTTTAAAAAGATGACTTTAGAGATCTAAACCTAGTGCAAAATAATGCAGAATATAAACTACAATTGAAAAATAAAATAAAGGCCCTGGCTGGTGTAGCTCAGTGGATTGAGCTTGGGCTGCAAACCAAAGTGTCGCAGGTTCGATTCTGAGTCAGGGCATATGCCTGGGTTGCAGGCCATGGCCCCCAGCAACCGCACATTGATGTTTCTCTCTCTATCTCCCTCCCTTCCCTCTCTAAAAAAAAATAAAATATTAAAAAAGAAAGAAACAAAAATAAAATAAAGAAGGATTAGAGACAGGGGGAAAAAAAGACGATGTCCAACCCACTGAGCCACACCAGTCAGAACTAAAATTTACCATTCTATTTTTAAGTGTACATTGGCATTAAGTACACTCACACTGTTGTGCAACCATCACCACCATCCATCTCCAGAACTTTTTCATCTCCCCCAGTTGAAACTCTGGGTCCATTTAACACTAACTACCTATCTTACCCCGCCTCCTGAGCATGTATTTTTATAATCAGAAAAAACTATGCCAACTTCTCTTATATCTCCTCTTTACTTTTACTTGTACCAGAAGTCTATCTTACTACTCTCCCTGAGCTTCTTGGCAGGTAAGGCAAACAGGGAAAGATGATGAATTACACAGTTCTCACTGACTGACAAAGAATGGGCAAGCTCCTTTAGGCCTTGCTTTTTGCTTCCTTTGTGTCCCAATATGCCTAAGGGTTACTAGGCCCTCCCATTAATAACAATGGTTCATTAAATCAATGACCCACACTGAACGGAAGGGAGATGGGGAAACAGTATAAAAAGGAGAGACATAATTGAGTCCCCCCAACACACACAATGCAATTCAAATGTCAACACTTCTATCATCATCACTAGTTAAGCACATACTTACAATTTCTGCCCTAGTGCAACAAACATTACTAACACTGCAACCTAGAAGGACTGTATCTCATGGATGCTTTTATAAATGGTACAACCTAAAATGACAAATCTTTAATAATAGATGTTAGACAATTCTTTCAAATGGTCATTGTTTGTAGAACTTTCAAAAGAGCATGAAATTTAACTGAACTAAAAAAACTTTTCAAGGGACCCAATACAAATAAATGGATTTTTATTTATGGTAATTGTTTGGATATAGGGTAATTTTACTCCAAAATAACCCCTGATGAAAATAAGTCACACTCACAAGAACTCCAGTGGCCCAAGGATTCAGTTTTTTTAACTGATATCCCTAATGCCTAGAGTCGTCTCTGGTACAATCATAAGTGACCAAAAAACTTATTTTTGAACCCACTATCACTCTGTGCCTATTACTAAAACAAGATCTTATAAACTGCTTAGCAGACTAGTTTCAAAGAGTTTTAAGATCAAATAGGACTTTAGAGATCACCAACTTTAGCCATCTGGGTCATAAATAAAAGAGATGAATTAGGTGAAGGAAAAATTACTAAAATACTATATAAATCACAAACACAAGGAATTATAGATTGGCCAAATAAATCGTGTTAGAAATCTTAGAGTATATTATTAAAATTTATACTACATTTATATAAATATTTGAGTCAGCTTCATATTTTAAGTCAAATATCAAAACCTTTTATATATACAAGATACCTAGTGCTTCATTAATAAAATTTCGTAAATTTTGAACTGAAAAACAAAACCAGATCAAACACATGTATTTAAATGTTCAAAGACAAGTAACTTACAGAGAAGTTTCAAGCAGTCATCTTTCTTTTTTAAACGGTCTTTCACATCTCCTGATATGAGTACAGAATACGGACATGCCATTTCTTTTAAAAAGCCACTTATCTCCAGCTGGAAGCTTTCTAGATCATCTCCCCCTTTAACAAAGAAAAATCATAAAACATTTACTGAATATTTATCATATAATGTGATATTATAAAATCTACCACTTGTTCATTTCAATTTTGCATTCAATTCTAAATTTTCTCTCTGACTTTAAACCCTTACATGTGTGACCCCAAAGCTTAGGTAAAGATAAACAATTTCTATATTCAAAGTAACATTTAACTAAGAAACAAGTATCAATTTAAGAATATAAATATGTAATCATGAGATTATAAGTATTTTTACATTTAAATCCAATAAGTATTTTCCAATACACATTCTATAAAAGCAGATAAAATGAAAATATTTTGTTAGTAACTAAAATATTAAAAGCATTATTGCAGTTAATTGGCTTCAGAGCAAATGATCCATTTCTATTGCATTTCTATGGGTTCAGATAATAAATGCAATCACCTAAGTAAGCATCATTGCTTATTTTTTTTTCATGATATAATTATATGGGAGCCTGTGTCATGTTTTGAATTTAGCTTACTTTACTTTGCTTCAGGTAAATTCTATTAGATTTGGCAAGGAAAAAACAATTTAAAAGGACAGCTTGAAAAGAGAAGGCTACTTTTGCAAATGCCCAAGAATTTTTCAGTTTTCATTTTATTTCACTATGTGAAATTCTACCAGTCAAAGACACACAATGACTCCAGTTACTGAGATAGTAGTGAATTAAACTTTATGAAGTAGTACAGGAATTTTTCATGTAAGCACTCCTAAGAGAACCCATGTCCTGAGTTGCAGGCTTGATAATACAAAAGAACAAACAAACAATAACAAATAAAAACCTTAATTCAAAATAAGCAGTATTCAAAAGTTAAAACTTTTTAAATAACCAAATTCAGACTCTACATTTTCTAAAAAATTATAAGGTTAAGACAGCAGATACACAGTAACTGTTTATAATCTTATACAAATTTAAGAACAAATTTTGGGTTAGTTAATATAGCATATAATCCAAAGATATTTAATATAACATACTGAAGTTCTTCATATTCATGATTTCTTTTTGTATAGCGGGCACACTATAGATAAATCGTAAGCTATCACTTCATTTTACTATTAAACAAAAAAGTAAATAAACACAATAGCAATACCAGCTGAAGTGATACTTTCTTCCAAGTTGCAGAGTGATTTTATTTGAGAGCCTAACCAAACACAGAGCTCTGAAAATTCAGGTGAAGACAGTCCATCCTCGGCTGCCTTGATAAGGGCTTGCTCTTCTAACAGTGGTCCCTTATACCTAGAAAGGAAGACATGAAAAGTTAAAAAAAAAAAAAAAAAAAGAAAGAAAGATAAGAAAGCCTCATACTCTTTTATCACAGCCTGCTGCCTGTTTTTACAATAGCTTTATTGGAGCACAGCTGATAAATGTATCCACTGTTACAGACTGTCTCTGGTTGCTTCCACACTGAAGTGGCAGAGAACTGAGTAGTTGTGACAGAGACAGCAGGGCCAGCAAAGCCTAAATTTTTTACTGTCTGGTCTGTTAAAGAAATGGTGTGCTGATTTCTGCTCTATATAATTAATGTTTGGCTTTTTCCTATATTTTAACATTTTTAAGTAAAATTATTAACCAATTTTAAGAGAAAAATTATATATAACACTAAGTCAAATAGAACTAAGTCTAATACTACTTACAATAAGAAAAAAGTAGTGAAAAAACAGATGCAAATATTACATTTTAAAAAATTACAGCTGAAAAACACCTGTGAGATCATTTTAACCTAACCACTTATAATTTTACACCCTCAAACATTGCTACAAAATGTGTTTGAACAGAACCTTAAATCTTTTAATCATCTTGTATATTATCTTAATTGAATTAGATAACAGTTTCCTACTTTGTTGCTCTTTCTGCCACTGAGCTTTTTTTCACATTATAAGCTTATAGATTTTAACACATTTGATGCGTTTTAATCCACTGCAGTCCTTTTTCTTTTCAAACAGTCCTATCTTTGCTTAGGAGGAGGCCATTCATGTTCGACTATCTTCAGTATTCTCTGAACACTTTCCTTGATTTCTATGACAAGATGTTCCTGTTCTATACCTGTAACTGGCCATTTCTTAAGCTCTGATTTTTTTTAATGGTACCCAACCTGGTACTGTATCTTTTTAAGAGAAATTACATCAGGGGATCATGTTGCTATTTCCAATTCAAACTTAGAATTGTGGGGTTTTACTTACTTGGTTTTACATTTTCATCTACTGTCTCTAAAATTCTTTTTACCTATTTTGAACTATTTTCAATAAAAATCTGGTTTCTTATGTTTACACAATCCTAGTAAAAATAAATATAAATTATATATAGTTTCAAAGTAGGAAAACCAGCATTATTACTAACAATAAAAACTCTAAAAACAATTTATGTTTTTATCTTTAGAATATATTCCAGTAAGGATATATTTTTTAAAATTCCTTTCCATGTGATTAAACCACCTACTCAAAATATTAACAGACCTTTGCTTCATTTTGCTTTTAAGTTTTAGGGATCTGCCTCTCTTTTATTGTTCTCATTTCATTTTTAATTTTGCTTTATAATTATGTAAAACATTTATATGGTTTCAAAGTCTAATTTACAAAGCAAGGTACATTCAGACAAATCTAGTGTGCAATCTCAATCTTGTTCACCCTACTCTGTTCCCTCCCTCCCCTATAAATAACTATATTTATTAGTTTTGGGTTGCCATTCCATAATGCTTTTACTTTATATACGCTTAAACATATATACACTTAACCTTTTTTAAATAAAAGGTAACCTACTATATACTGACCTATTCCTTGGTTTAAACACATATACTTCCTCTCTCACAAACACGCACATATTTACATATACTAGAGAGCAGGAAAAATACTACTCAGTCATTTTTCTTGTTACTATACAATAAAATTATCCAAATTCTGGGCAAGAAAACAGGGCACTCCACTGTCTGAATGCACCACATCTTATTCACTGTGCCCCCACTGAAGGACATTTGGGTTAGTACAGTGTTTTGCTATTATAAAATATTGGCAGATGTTTGTGTATCAGGGATAGATTCCTAGAGGTGGTACTGTTAGGTCAAAGGGTAAGTGAATATGTAACTTTGCTAGATACTATTATATTTTCCTCTACACAGGGTTGTACCATCAGGTACAAGAGTAACCATCCCCAACAAGGCACCAAAGTAGTCAAACATTTGGATTTTTGACCATCTGGTATCTTGTAGAGTTTTAATGCACATTTCTCTTACGAGCAAGGCTGTACAACCTTCATGTGTTTACAGGCCATTTGCATTTCTATTTCTCTGAATTCTCTGGTCATACCCTCATGAAGTATATTTTCAAATCCCTATTTTGCAAGTAAGAAATTAATGTTTACTAAGGTTAGGATACCTGCTTTAAGTAGTAGGCCAGGCACAGTGCTAGTCATAGATATATGTATATGTATGTGTGTATACATATATATTTATATATATTTATAATTTATTTAATCTCTATAGCAATACTTTGAAGTTAGTATTATCCAACTTTGGATCAGAATATAACTACATGATGACATGCTGATTTAACCCCAGATGTTCCATGTGAACTGTGAAACTTCTGTCTACACTAATAAGGAAACTAAGCAAATAACCTGGCCAGGCTGTGCAGCCAGGCAAAGGCAGACCTGGGGCTAGACCACTGTCTTCGCTCCTCTACCCAAATCTGGTTCCTCTATGCAGTTACTTTCTTCCCTGTCTTATAGTGCCTCTCATTGAGATTGAAGTGTAAACATCTTATTTCCCCCTACTTACTTGCATTTCTGCAATAATCATAAACTTTTGAATAAATATACGTAATTCATATAGTTGGTGATAAGTTATTTTCACTCAAATGCCAACCACAATATAACAAAAATTGATTAGATCACCAGAAAAAAGGAATTCAGAGGGAGAAAATCCCACGGGCCTTAAATGTCTCAGTTCATGAAATTGGATAAAAATCAAAAGAAAAAATAAATGCATTTAACAAACTTAACATCTAATAACAATCACAATCATAATACAACTAAAATTTATAAACCGCTCTTATGGTGGGCCAGTGCTACAGTGCTTTATGTTTATTACCCTACTTAGTTGCCATAATGTCCTAAAAGGTATTGTTATTATCTTAGTTTGTTCTACACATTCTTACTTAATTAGGGAAGTGCTCATCTTATTCCAAACATTGGAGACACCTCCCCTAGGCCCAGACTCCCTCAGGAGTCCTCCATACACAGGAACCATAGTGGCCCGTCTGGCACTTCAAACTGGGTAATTCAGTCTTCAGTCTGTAGGGCCACTGGCAAACCTCCACAAAGACACAGCCAGGGCCTAATTTACTTTGTTTTCTAGTTTTATTACCCAACATATAAAATGAGGCCCTTTCCCCTGTCACCTGCCCGCCCTACAGGACTGCCTCTGATCCAGCACCTCCCTTCTCCCTGCTTCCCAATTCTCCCCCTATGTCCCATTCATAAACAACAACTCTCTTATATTGTCAATCTCAGAAAGATTATCCCTACTGCCTCTAGCTTTGGCTAGTTTACTGACTCCATCAGATGGCAGCATCTGTTCTCCTTGCTTCCCAATATAAAATTTGTATCCTTGCTCCCTCATTTTCGTATAAATACCTCCTGCTCTCTCCAGGCTCAAGCCAGTCGGATTGGCCACCCTCTTCCTCTTGTGATTTTCATCTACCAACCTCTTAGATACTCCCCAGCATTCCCTGTACTCACTTTTCCTTTCCATTCCCATGTTTGCCATTATACTAAGTTTCTTCAAAGTCTTTATGTATACTTCGTCCTGTACCCTGAGCTCTCAATCCCCTAACTTCCTCCTTGCCAATCTTTGCCACTACACGTCAGTGAGCCACCCTCTTGTTACCACCTGGAACTACTCCAACTTGGAAGTTATTTCAAATACCACACTCTCTGACCACAACCTACTATCTTTTCTTTCAGCTTGCTCTTTTAACCAGTCACCTACAACTATTCTTTAATATCACCTCTACCTCCATTCCATTGGTCCATCTACATTCTCTGTATTGACTAGCTCCCTGCTCTCTTCACTTTCTTCCCCACTCATTTTAGATTCCAAAGTACATTATTTCATTTTGGTGTTAAATAAATACCTACTGCAGAAATGAATCCTTAATAGCATCATCTTAGTTCTAATATCCCATCAATCACTAAGTCCCCTAACACACTTCTTTCCATATCCACTGCCACTAAGCAACCATCGCTTCATGTCTAGACTAACTAAATTCTCCAGTCCACTCTCCATCTTGCCCACAAAGGTAGCTTTTCAAACTAGACATCTAATCACTCCCTTTTTATTTAAAATCCTTCAATCATGTCCCATTGCTGTTGTGACAAAGAAAAAAATTCCACAGGGTTGGCCAGAAAGTTCATTTGGTTTTTTTCCATAAGATGGCTCTAATAGCTCTTAATTGTCTTTAACGTCATTCAAATCAATTTTGTTGTATTGTGACAGCTGTCATATCAGTGTGCATATTTTTTAAAACTTACCAAAACTGGTGAGTTTTTATGTAGCCATTTTAACACTGAGGATGGAAATGTGCAACATTTTCAGCATACTATACTTTATTATTTCAAGAAAGGTAAAAATGCAACTGAAACACAAAAGAAGATCTGTGTAGTGTATGGAGAAGGTGCTGTGACTGATTGAACATGTCAAAGTGGTTTGCGAAGATTCGGGCTGAAGATTTCTCACTGGACGATGCTCCACAGTTGTGTAGAGCAGTTGATGTTGAAAGCGATCAAATCGAGACATTGAGAATAATCAATGTTATACCATGTGGGAGATAGCCGCCATACTCAAAATATCCAAATCAATCAAGTTATTGGTGAAAATGAAAAATGTCTTTTATTTTGTGGGGAAAAACCTAAATGAACTTTTTTGCTAATTCAATACAACACAGCCTAAAGGGTGCTGCATGCCCTGACCTTCAGTGAACTCTCCAGTCTAATCTTCCACCACTCTGGTTTTTGCCCTCTACCCTCTACCCACTTAGCCTACTTCCAGTTCTTCTAATACAGCCTGCTCCTTTCTACTTGAAGTCTTTCCTATTTTGTTCTCACTGTAAGGACATCTTGTCCTCCTTTCCCACTCAGTTTCACCCAGTCAACTCCTATTGATCATTCCTATTTCAACTCAAATGCCACTTCCTCAGGAATCTATCACTAACCCCTAAGACGATATAGGTCCTCCTGTTATGTCATTCTGTTCTTTCCCTTTAAAGCACTTGTAGTTAATCAATATCTGTGTGATCATGTCTGTCTCCAGTAGACTGCAGCTCCATAAGGTCAGGGACTAACTCTATTTTGCTTACCTTTGACTTCTCCGACAGTGTCCAATATAGAGTTGTACTCAATAAATATTTGAAATAAACTTCTCTCCATTATGGTGGTTCTCAACCTAGGCTGTGAAGCTTTTCTAAAAATGCATGCTTACATGGCACCCCCCAAAAGATCACGATTCAGTCAGTTTGTGATATATACTAGACTGCAATCTTTTTTCCATAAGCTCCATACATGATTTTGATGCAGAGTCGGAGTTGAGATTCACTGTTCTACAAAATCAGACTGTCAGGACTGAAAGAGACTTCTGAAATCGTCAACTCCAGCCTACTCCTTTCACAGATGAGTAAACGATTTCTCTCCTGTTTTCATTTGTAATGGACTATATCACTAAATTGTTCTTTCACATAGATGTCCACTTTTAATTCCTCCCTTTAATTTCTTATGTTATCTGGCAAAAGTACCTTCATGATATCTCACATTTTAATCACAACAGAAATTCATTCCTCACAATATGTACAGAGAGTATTTTAAAAGTGTTCAATTATAACTCCTACTGTAAGTAAACAACTACTTTTCTTCCACATTATCATTATAGGAAAATTTAAACTTCAAAATTTTGCCCTCAGTTATTCCAGGAAAAATCAACTCTGAAGTGTGTAAAGTTTTACTTTCTATATTGAATACTTTGAAACTAATTTTCTTTAGTAAGAGTAAGATCATAGTAAACTTCATTTTTCAAATACCTATAATACAAACAAATGCAAGGAATAAAGGAAGGATAAAAAGAACTGACTACCTTTTTCATAAACTATTAATAGAATCCCACTGTTCTTTTTTTTTTTTTAATCCTCACCCAAGAACATGCTAATTGATTTTTGGAGGGGCGGGGTGAGCTAAGAGAGGAAGAGAAACAATGATGTGAGAGAGAGACATGATTGGTTGTGTCTCATATATGACCCAACCAGGGGCCAAACCCCCAAACTAAGCAAGTGCCCTGACCAGAAATCCAACCCTCCAGATTTTGGGTTGCCGGAGGCACCTCCAACCAACTGTGCAGCACCGCCAGGACCAGAATCCCACCATTCTTCTCTAGAGTACTTGGGAGCTTAAACTGTTTGAGAGCTAAACACTTCAATTAAGTATTTTAACTTCTTGTTTTGGTTACTCCCTTAACCAAGTAAAGTGAAAATTTCCAACGGATTTCACAGAAGTAAAAACATGCCCTGTAAATAATCATTGGCCCTGTTCTTTATTCGGCATTTATTCAGGATCTACTAAGTGCAAGGCTCTGTAACAGTGGGTCATTGCAAGGTAGTTACTATCAGGATCCAAAGTAGCAATCCACGGAGAAGCAAGCGCAGATTCAGTAAAAGATAAAGGGATTCGGGGTTTCAAGCTTCATAATTGCACTTCAAAGGCACGACCTACACTCAACAAACCTACATTCGACAAACTCCGATATGTGGCAAGGCAAACAATTGTACAGATAGCTCCCATGGCTTCAACGAGTATTTTTTGACTCTCAACACTCTGGCCCTATGCTTACCTCTGTGCATGCTCTTTTTTGAACTTTTCTTCATTCGTTCAACCACGATTTACTATGCCACACACCCTGGTAGTATCGTGTTGGGAACAAAACAGGAAAGGCACCTGTTTTCCTAGAGCTGACTTGGGATGGGGGCGGGGGCATTCAAGAGACAACGTGCGGGTCGAGATAATTTGGGAAAGGAATAACGACTGTGAAGAAAAACAGGCTAAGGCTGTGGGAGAGCTATGGTGCATATATTGCTCCCCATTCCTGGAAGTATTCGCACTATCCCAGGAGCTCTCATAGTAATTATCACTCTGAATTGTATGTATCAGTACATACTATGTAGCCACAACGACTATGTAAACCACTAGTACTCTGCAACTGTCTTTTCCTCGGTCTAGTACATAAATACGTAATAATGAACACATATTAACACCATGTAAATATGTTGTTTACGAACGGATGAAATGGTTCAATGAATGGATTGAACTAAAATATTTGCAGTCAAGGAAGCAGGAGAGATTCGCTCCCAAGGCCCTAATGAAGCCACCGGTTGTACACAGTAGGAGACGACAGTCCCCAGCAGCACCCCGGGTGGCAGCACCCCCTCCGCCAGGGCGCGGCAACTACGTAAACAAAAATCGCCCCCGCGGGGTAGGGTGGTGCTTCCCCGGAGGGCTGATGCCAGCCGGGTCACTTCGCGCCACTGCTGCAAGTCGGGGCTGCGGAGTTCCCAGGCAAAGAGTTTGGAAGAGGGGGCCACGCGCCCCAGCTCTCCGGCCTTACTCCACCCCCAACCCTCCAAACGGATTTCTTTCCCGCCTCCCTCTTAACTCCGTAAGCGCCAGAGGGAGCGAGGCAGGGAAGGAGGCCTGCACCCAGCGGCCTCAGCCCAGTAGAGGCCCACAGGGTGTAGATTGCAGCAGCCAGGCTGAGGGAGAGCTTAGGTTTTCGGAGGAAAGACGTCCCTAGGAATACTCACCCCAACGACTCTAGTGTGTCCAGCACGTCCCCCTCCATCGTGGGTTCGGGACCCGACTCTGGCCCTTTCATGGTCCTTTGGCCCAAAGCTGTTCACCGCTCTAAGGAGCCCGCCGGAAACTAGCGTTACCGCGGCAAGGTTCCGGTCGGGATCTTGACCAGAACTGCCTAAGAGAGCCTCTGACCGGGGACCAAAAGGTTCTGGCCAAGAGGCAAGTAATACTTAGTGCCTGAAACGGCTTTATGTAACAATAATAACTTTCTAAAATAATAATAGAAATAATCATAATAAAAAGTATTCTTTGTGTTAGGTCTTATCTGTGTTGAAATCAATCTTAGCAAACATAGTGATCCTACCCACATTGTTAACCTATTAGACTCCCGGACCTCTCAATTTACAACAAAAATCCTGAATGGAATAATAATTATCTTAATCTAAAATTAGTACGTAACATGTACCTACACATATAATTTTTACATTAATATACGCAGCAATGTTCCAACTTTAAAAAATAAAGGAGCAGCTAATTTATAATTATATTGTTTCATTATGAAATGTGGAAGATTGATGATCAGATTTGTGCATCTACGACCTTCTTATACATACACACTGTTGTACTGCTTACAAAATATAAGTGAGTTGTATAAGAAATATAAGAATTGTATGTCGCCATTAGGATATTCACTAAAGGAATAATCAAATGTAAAATTTATAACTAAGAAAAGGTGAAAATAAAATAATCAAAAAAACATTGGATTAAATCTAAAAATGCAAAAAAAGAAAATAACTTAAACCGTAAGATAGCTGGGTAGAAATATTAGCATAAAAATAGCTACTAATGCAAGAAGTATCAGAAAGACCTAAGTAGGGACATTTCATAATGATAAAAGGATCAAGACCACAGGGAGCTATAACAATCCTAAAGGTTTATTTGCTTAATAACCAGGCTCAAAATATATGAATAAAAAACCAAATGAACTTAAAGGAGAAATAGAGATGTCCACAATTACAGAGGAAGATTTTAAACATATATCTCTAATTAATTGATATAACAAAGTCAAAAAATCAGTAGACATACACAAGATTTGCAAACCATGATTTATATATTTGACCTAATTGATATACATAGATCACTGCTTCCCAAAACTTCATAATCTACATTTTCAAGTGCACATGTATCATTAAAACTTAATTAGCCATAGACCCAAGAACAAACTTGTAGTCTGATAAAATCAGATGTACTGATTTGCAGTGAGGGAGCACACTGCAGAGAAACTATATCAGTCAAGGTTCTTCAGAGAAATAGAACCAAAAGGATATATATGAGATTTATTATAGGAATTGGTTATTGTGGTTATGGAAGCCAAATCCCAAAATCTATTGTCTGTCAACTGAGCACCAGGGAAGTTGGTGGTATAATTCAGTCAGAGTCTGAAATCCAGGAACGAAGAGTTTGATATCTGAGGACAGGAGATAGATAACCAGCTTGAGAGAGAGAGAGAATTTGCCCTTCTTCCACGTTTTTGTTCTATTTGGGCCCTCTACAGATTAAACGATGCCTGTCCACATTGTTGAGGTCTATTTTCTTCACTCAGTCTACTGAATCAAATGATAATCTCTTCTGAAAATATCCTCACAAACACACTGAGAAATAATGTTTTATCAGCTATCTGGACATTCATTAGCACAGTCAAGATGACACATAAAATTAAAAATCACAAGAACTATAGCATGCCTCTCAATGAAAAAAAGAAGGAAACATTTTGAGTAAATTTTGGATTCCACTAAAGGATTCTAGAAAGTTGCCATCAATTCTGGTTTGGTTGCTGCTTTGGAGGTGGGATTAGAATTGGGAATTAATTAGGGATTGAGTGCTTAAAAGCTACTCTCCACTAATACAGTGCTTTTAACATTTCCTAATGTTCTGCAAGCCAAGCTGGTCTCCAGACACTTTTTCACCTCAACCCCAAAGAGAAGTTTGCAGCCTCAATGTTTGTGAACAGGCATGCATGCTTACATGCATGGGGGAGGAGAATGTGCATTTCATAGTACTGGCAATGCTTATGAGATTATATTCTGAAGTAACTATTAAATAAGCATCAGACATTCAATAAGTTGACGGTTTATTAAGCACACATTTTGCATTGGGTTGGCCAAAAGCCCTTTACATGTTTCTGTATGATAGCTCTAGTAGTGTTTAGTTGTCTTTACCTTCATTTGAAACAATTTTGTTAGTTTATATTGTTACAGCTGTCATATCAGTGTGCATTTAAGAAAACTTATCAAAATTGGTGAATTTTTGTGGAGCCATTTTAATGTTGAAGATGGAAGAAAACATGCAACATTTCATAATAAAGCATGAAATAACATCATGTTTTATTGTTTCAAGAAAGGTAAAAATGCAACCAAAACACAATAAAAGATTTGTGCAGTGTATAGAGAAGGTGCTGTGATCGATTGAAAATGTCAAAACTGGTTTGCAAAGTTAACTGCTACTATTGATATTTCAGCCAAGTAATTCCTTGCTGTGGGGCTGTCTTATGCATTGGAAGATATTTAGCAACACCCCTGTCCTCTATTCATTAGAAACCAATAGTGGGAGATACTCAAAATATCCAAATCAATAAAGGTACTGGTGAAAATTAAAAATGTGTCTTTTATGGAAAAATGTAATGGACTTTTTGGCCAACCCAATACTACAGCAAGGCATCATCCCAGCTGCATTTTTGTTCCTAGCTTTTTGGTGGCATTTGACTAAAAATGCCCCCAAGATTACTTCATCTGCACTGGCCCAGAAAGCAAGGGTGTCTGCCACTGAGAACCAACTGGAGAACTTTCTACATGAAGACTCACCTAGGCTCCGTCCTCAGAGATTCTGATCCAGTAAAAGAGATGAGGCCTAGGAATCTCTATACAGTTGGCCATTGAACAACACTGGTTTGAACTCTGTGGGCCGCTGTATGCACATATTTTAAATAAACACATATAGTACTCTAAATGTATTTTCTATTCCTTATGATTTTCCCTTTTTTTCTGGTATAATGTCATTTTTATTGTATTTTTTCCATTACCGTTTAGCCCCTTTATACCCTAACCCCACAATCACCACACTGTTGTCCATATCCATGAGTCCTTTTCCTATTTGATCAATTCCTCCACCTTCTAAACTCCCCCACCCCTTGCCTGTCATCATGCTCTCTATCTATGAGTCTGTCTCTATTTTACTTGTTAGTTCAGTATTTTCATTAGATTCTACATATGAGTGAAATCATATGGTACTTTTCTTTCTCTGACTGGCTTATTACACTTAGCATAATGTTCTCCAGGTCCATCCATACTATCACAAAGGGTAAAATTTCCTTTTTATGGCCAAACAGAACTCCATTGTGTAAATGTCACATAGTTGTTTTATTTACTCACCTACTGAAGGACACTTGGGCGCTTCCATATCTTGGTGATTGTAAATGATACTGCAACGAACATAGGGGTGCTTATGTTTTCTTGAATTAGCATTTTGGGTTCCTTCGGGTATAATTCCAGAAGTGATATCATTCAAAAGGCAGATCCATTTTTAATCTTTTGAGGACCTTCCATACTATATTCCATAGTGGCTGCACCCATCTGCATTCCCACCAACAGTGCAAAAGGATTCTGCTTTCTCCACATCTTTGCCAATACCTGATTGGTGATTTATTGATGACAGTTATTTTGACTGCTGTGAGATGGTATTTCATTGTGGTTTTCATTTGCATTTCTCTGATGATTAGTGACATTGAGCATCTTTTCATATGAATGTCGGCCACCTGTATGTACTCTTTGGAGAAGTCTATTGAGGTCCTTTACCCCACTTTTGAATTGGATTGTTTGTTTTTTTTTGGTGTTGAGTTTTGTAAAGTACTGTATAAATTTTGGATATTAATCTGTTATCAGATATATCAGCAGTATGTGCTCCCATTCTGTGGGTTGTCCTTTTATTTTGTTGAAGATCTCCTTTGCTGTGCAAAATCTTTAAGTTTGATGTGACCCCATTTGTTTATTTTTTTTCTCTTGTTTCCCTAGCCTGGGGAGATATACCTGATAACAGATTTCTACCAGCAATGTCTGAGATTTTGCTGCTTATGTTTTCTTCTAGGATTTTTATGGTTTCAAGGCTAAATTTTAAGTCTTTGATTCATTTGAAGTTATTCTTTGATGCGTGGGACACCGGCCAGCAGTGATCACGGAACGCTGCAGACGGCTCGCCGAAATGCGAGAAAAAACATGCACAGAGACAGACCAGTTTCTGTGGAGAAGTAGGGACGGGATGGCCACCCCTGTAGTGGGGAGCACGCTGATTTACCATCCAAACCAGCTTTTATTGGGTTCGTTTTGCATAAGAATTCAGGTAAAGCACATTACTCATTGCGAGGAAGTAAGGATCAAACAATAGGTAACAAGGAACTCTGAGGGTCTATTTTGAGTCAGAGTCAAAGAGCTGTAAGACTTTAAGGAACAAACTAACTTCCTCCTTGGACCCTTCTCATTCAACTGAGAGCATTCTAACCAAACAAGGTTTCACAGGAATTTACATGTTCTTTCTTAGACCTGATCACCCAGGGAATCCACCCTTTCCAGCACAAGGCAGCACCACCCTGTCATTGTTTAAGGCTTAGGTGAAGCAAGGAAGTAAGGCAGCCAAGAATTTTTGTGTGTGGTTTTGAGAAGGTAGTCTAGTTTCATTTTTCTGCATATATCTGTCCAGTTTTCCCAACACCATTTATTGAATAAACTATGTATAGTCCATTGTATGGCCTTGTTTCCTCTGTCGAATATTGACTATAAAGGTGTGGGTTTATTTCTGGGCTATCTATTTCATTCTATTGATTTATGTGTGTGTTTTTATTCCAGTACCATGCTGTTTTGACTACTATGACCTTGTAGTATAGTTTGATGATAGGTAGCATGAGTCCTCCAACTTTGTTCTTCTATCTCAGGATCACTGTTGATATGTGGGGCCTTTTGTGGTTCCATATAAATTTTTGAATTTTTTCTAGTTCTGTGAAATATGTCATTGAAATCTTGATAGGAATTGCATTGAATGTATAGATAGCTTTGGGTAGTATGGACATTTTAGTGATGTGAAT